GATGAAAGGCAGGGAGAGGCGGCTCTGGAGCATTTTGCAGTCCATCCCGGGAGTAAATCCTGAATGTGGTTTTCACATTATTGTTTTTATTTCCCTCATGGCGTGCAAGGTCTTTTTGGACTACCAGGAGAGTAATCCAAGAAGTTCTGACCCTTAGCTAAGAAATCATCTGACCCGAGCCACGTGGCAATCCACTCCGCAGATGGTTGGACAATTCTGACCTGTTTCCTGATCAGATTGTTCAGGCACAGGCCTTTGAACCCATATTTAAATTGATTGAATTTTCTCCTTCCTGGAAGCCCAGGTTTATTTTCACGTAGGGGCCGGAGCGGGGAGAGAACTGAGAGACACAGGGAGCCACTGAGAGAGAGAAGACAAGAATGTCAACTATTTCACAATAAGGGGAAAAAGCATCAAACTGCATCCTGTCTGTATTTTTTCACACTTCCCATAGGAGAAATCCAGGAAATGCGCCGCCTTACCCCCTCCTTTTTATTTTTCATTTTTACAGTGAGTGCTATTTGGTGCCACAGCCAAGAGCCCCTCCTGTTAGCTTTGCTGAACTGCATGTATGCACCTGACTGAACCAGACAGAGGCCAGAGGAGTGCTAGGCTCAGGTGCATGTGCTGGAGGCCTGTGCAAACCCACCGTTTTGCCTTCCAGTGTTGCTACACCTACCACAGATCACACTCCCAGGTCTCTGGGACGCAGCTGCCTCTGGAAATCACCCCATCACTTCTTTCTCAACTCGCCCCACAGTCTCCTCCCCAAAGTACTGTGACCGGAGCACCCAAGACCTCTTCTGACTATTGTGTCTGTTGGGGCCACAGACATCGTTTCACCTGTTACACTGAAAAACAATTTGTAATATGAATATCTCCCTGAATTTACATGGTGTTTCACTTCAGCATTTCAATGGCCAACCCTGCACCATGAGTTCCGTTTCTGCCCTTCCTATAAAATATATTATTAGCACATTTTCTGGAGAAGCCTATTTTCACCAGACAGGTTTTTCAGAGGGAGACAACAAATTGCATAGAATTTAAGGGATATTTCCAAAGCAGTCAGCAAGAAAATGATGATCTAACAACATATGACATTTCACCAAAAAATGTAGCTTTAAAAGTTGCTTCAAAGTAAGTTTTTCCCATGGGGGAGTTTCTGGGGTGATTGAAATGTTCCATATCTTGATCAGAGGGGTGGTTTCACAGGTGTATGTATTTGTAAGAACTCATTGAATTGTACACTTAAAGCCAGTACATTTCACTCTATTCAACTTTTGCCTTAAAAATCAACAGCCCAGCCCTGGCCCATGTGGCTCCGGTGGTTTGGAGCATTGTCCCATAACTGAACGACTGCACATTCGATTCCTCATCAGAGCAAATACCTGGGCGGCAGGATGGACCCCGGCTCCAGGCAGGGCTATGCACCCATATGGACCCCTGGTCCCAGCATGCAGGGAGGCAACCAATCAATGCTTCTCTCTCACATCAGTGTGACTCCCTCTCCCTCCCTCTCCCTCTCTCTAGGAGAAATGGGGAAAATCTCCTTGGATTAGAAGATAGACAGATAGATAGACATAAAAGGTCAGAGCCCCTTTCGTGAACTTCTGCACACCCACCAGTGGGCCCTGCGAAGTGTCTGCTGTGACACAGTGGCTCCCACGCTGCCGTTGCTGCCTTCTCCTCGTCTTCTCCATAGTGACTTCATAATCTTTTTCTACTTTTTTGTTATTATTGTCAAAATACCCTAGGATTGGCTCTTTTATTTTTAAAAGTTTTTTTATCATACTATATTTTAACATTTTAAAATTTTCTTCCTTTAATAATGTTTGTTCATGGCATATGTTTTTAAAAGCACAAAGAAGAGGATAAATCCCATCTGTGCCCCCCTATTCAGAGAAGAGTCCATCAGTACTTTAGTCTCGCCTTCTAGAGATAGCCAACAGATTTGGACTGTGCGCCCAGGTGTCTGGCAGGAACTGTTCCAGGCACCAGGTACACTGTAATAAACAAGGCAGGGCGCCCTTGCTGTCACAGAGCTTGCGTGCTAAAAAATAACAGGTACGAAGGGATGTTAAGTATCAATACTTGTTAACTGATAATCTTTTACCACTTAACAATTTAGCCCTGCTATCTTTTCAAGTGAATAAAAATAATTACATGGCCTCATTTTCATAGCTGCATAACTAGGGGTTCTTAAGAACCCCTAGTTCAAACAACTAGACTTTTCAAAGTTATAAACTACCCTTTTGTGAACATCCTGTTGAGAGTCTTTTGCATGTACTTTTAGTGATTTTCTTGCTGGCAAAATAATTTCGGGAATCATTGTCAACATACTTAACTGTTTTCTTTCAAACACCCTTCACTTTAATTGTTACATAAGCTTACTCTTTAACTCTGTATTGTTGATGAAAGAATCTATAGGTCATTTTCTTACTTATTTACTTATTGTTCAAGTACAGTTTTCCATTTTTTACTCCCACCCCAGCTCACCCCGCAGTGCTCCCCACCTCCCTCCCATTTCCACCCCCCTTAGTTGTTGTCCATGTGTCCTTTATACTTGTTCCTGTAAATCCTTCCCCTTCTTCCCCTGAAATTCCCTCCCCTCTCCCCTCCTGTCACTGTCCTCCTGTTCTTTATTTCAGTATCTGTGTTTTTATTTTGCTTGCTTGTTTGTTTTATTGTTTAGCTTCCTGTTAAAGGTGAGATCATATGGTATTTGTCTTTCAACACCTGGCTTATTTTACTCAGCATAATACTTTCCAGTTCCATCCATGCTGTCGTAAAGGGTAGGAGCTCCTTCTTTCTTTCTGCTGCATAGAATTCCATTGTGTATATGTACCATACTTTTTTGATCCATTCATTTACTGATGAGCACCTAGGTTGCTTCCAGCTCTTGGCTATTGTAAATTGTGCTGCTATGAACATTGGGGTGCATAGGTTCTTTTGGATTTGTGTTTCAGGGTTCTTAGGGTATAATCCCAGCAGTGGTATTGCTGGATCAAAAGGCAGGTCCATTTTTAGTTTTCTGAGAAAATTCCATGCTGTTTTCCACAGTGGTTGTACCAGTCTGCAATCCCACCAACAGTGAACTAAGGTCCCCTTTTCCCCACAACCTCTCCAACATTTGTTGTTTGTTGCTTTGTTTGTGATAGCCATTCTGACCAGTGTAAAGTGGTATCTCATTGTGGTTTTAATTTGCATCTCTCTGATAGCTAACGATATTGAGAATCCTTTCATGTGTCCCTGGATCTTCTGTATGTCCTCCTTGGAGAAGTGTCTGTTCAAGTCCCTTGCCCACTTTTTAATTGGGTTGCTTGTCTTAGAGTGGAGTTGTGTAAGTTCTTTGTATATTTTGGAGATTAAACCCTTGTCTGAGGTATCATTGGCAAATATGTTTTCCCATACAGTTGGTTCTCTTTTTAATTTAATACTGTTTTCTTTAGCTGTGCAAAAGCTTTTAATTTTGATGAGATCCCATTTGTTTATTCTTTCCTTTATGTCCCTTGCTCTGGGGGACATATAAGTAAAAAAGTTGCTGTGTGAAATATCTGAGATTTTCTTGCCAATGTTCTCCTCTAGGACTTTAATGGTGTCACGGCTTCTATTTAAGTCTTTTATCCACCTGGAATTTATTTTATAGGTGATTTTCAAAACTATGGAAACGGATGACATACTCATGCACTTATGTCCACACGATGCCTCTCTACCATTAAAGGCACATCAAGGCTTTGAAGGCAAACCCCCCATCAGAAAATTCTTTACCCATTGCTTCCAGAAAATTACCTAACTTTTTATTGCATCAAGGTTTACATCTCTGAAATGGGCAGAATGATTTTTGCAACTCTAGAATATTTGCCTAAGTCTAAGGTGAGTGCTTGATTAAGGCACCTTGTTTGAAAAAATCAGGCACAGCACAGAGGAGATTTACTACCTGGCCCACGTGTGGCCAAGAAGTGGCAGGAGGAGAGCTGGAAATAAAGCCTGGGGTGTGATGCTATGAACATTGGGGTGCATAGGTTCTCGCCACGCTATATGTTTCTTAAGAAACCTTTGATCCTACATGACTTGTAGAGAATTTATCAGTTTTGCAGGGGAGGAGAAAAACATTTTAGAAAATATGTTATAGAAAATCTTCACCTTATAGATTTCTAAGAATGTAGCAAAATACTCAAACTATTCAGCACATATTTGAACCACAACTATTCAGTGAGCCCCTATTATGTGCAAAGCACTATTTTAATCATTTAAGATGATGCTTACAGTCTCAGGCTAGCTCAAACACTTATTTCACCCTCCAATGAACTTGAAAGTAAGTTTATATTTGCCATGAAAGTAGTATGTAACAAAATTATAATATTCTTTGGTACATTTTTTTATCATCTACTGTTTTAAGAGAATTGTGCAAGGTACTACTGTAGCAAGGGGCTTACAAAGATAAATGAGACAAAAACTTGTCATTAAAGAGCTGACCCACTACAGCTGTACTGTCTAATATGGTAGCCTCTGGCCATACATGCTGCTGATGGGTGGAAATTTGGCTACTATGAGCTGAGAGTGCTATAAGTAAATGATACACCAAATTCAAAAACTTAATATGAAAACAAGAATGTAAAATATTTCATTAATAAGTTTTGATAACAATTACATGTTGAAATGGTAATATTTTGAATATTGGAGTTAATTGAAATATATTATTAAAATTAATTTAACCTGCATCTTTCTAGCTTTTTAATTTAAAATTACATATGACTTGTGTTCTATTTCTATTGGCAGTGTTCATCAATACAATTATAGTTACTAACCTATTCAGTGTCTATACAATGTGCCATGCAATTTTATATTAGATACATGTAATCTGCCACAAGAAAGGTATTACAGATGAGGAAATTGAGGGGCAAAGGCTATATTTATTCATTATTATTCAACACATACCGAGGTCTGTCCAGAAAGTCCAGCCATGTAATATGAAAAAGAGCATTTATTGGAGAAGATACAAGATACAAGAAACACTGTACGTAGGACAATGACACCTCGGCCCGCTTCAAAGTAGGCACCTTGGGACTTCACACATTTCTCTCAGCATCTCTTCCACTGTTCAAAACACTCTGCAAAATCCTTTGAATCACCATCAGCTGCCCCATTGTATTTTTTTGAATCTCATTGATGGTCTGAAATCTCTTCCGTTTCAAAGGTGATTGTAGTTTTCGGAAAAGCCAGATGTCACAAGGTGCCAAACCTGGGCTATAATGGGGCTGAGTCACCTGGGCGATTTGATGTTTTACCAAAAATCTCTGCACGAGACGTGGTGCATGAGCAGGCACATTGTCATGATGAACCTGCCAATCCCCAGTTGCCCACAGCCACGGCCTTCTGAACCATCCCAGTAGTTGCTGTGGAGTAATGTTCACGCAAAAACTTGATGCAGATTCATTCTCTACTTCCTCGATCAGTTTGAATGCTATGGCCACACAGTGCACATGCTCACTCAGTGGTGTCTACCGCCCCCACTAACTAGTACAGTGAAGTCATCATAGTTCACACACGTGCACATTCCAGTCCACTCTCCTTGGCTGCCAGGTTACATCGATGTTGCAAACCATTCCCATTATATCAACAATGGTTGGACTTTTCCCAGACAGACATCATGCTTATTTTCTGTGCACCTAGGGCCGTGGTAGGCAGTAGAGATACAACAAAAGTCTTTACTCCTAAGGAACTTATGTTCTAGAGGGAGAGGAAAGTAATAAATAAATAAGTATAAAAAACATGTCAGGCAGTGACAGTGAAGAAAGATGAGGCCTATGAAAGAACACGTAGTGCCCAGAATCAGGGTGAGGTGGGGTGGGCCATCTGATAGACAACAGGGTCTGAGAGGAATTGTCATCTGAGCAGATCCATGAAGGAGGGAGTGCTGCCTGGCTTCTGGGCAGAGGCAACAACAAGTAAAAGACTAAGCAGTGTGTGTGTGTGCATGTGTGTGTGCATGTGCGTGTATGTGCACACACGCACACAGGCATGCTTTACACATTGGAGGAACAGCAGGAGAACCAGCGGTGTTGGAGAGCAGTGAACAAGGAGTAGAGGGAGAGGAAGCCAGAAGTCTATTCCTGTAGCAACTTGGAAGCCACCACAACTAGGAAATACTGAAGGATGACTTCGGCTGCCTTATGACGTGTGGACTGTTATGGGCATGTCTGGAACCCAGCAAGAGCAGCAGCCAGAGACCAGCTAAGAGGCTACTTGCAGTAATGCAAGAGAGATTTTACAAGGTCTGTCTGACTCAGCCACCAGAGATTTGCTGTTCCTACAATACAAAGTAAAATAATCCAAAAATTATCCAGAGAATTAGACCAGTAAAGGTCAAATATCTGGATAATTTAAGCTTCAGAATATATTTGGTAGTCTGCAGAGTTATCTGAAATGGCAGTAAAAAAAATCACTGTCTAACTTCATAAGATAGTAATTTATCTCTGTCTCCTGCTTTCTGCCATTTTAACCTAAGGAGCGTGGACTTGAGATCTGCCACAGGCAGGATAGGATTGCGGGGCCTTTAAGTCAAATTCCGATCAGGCAGATTAGCTTTATTTTTGCCAAAGAAAAGTGCTTAGCTGAACCAGATGACAATTCTGTAGCTTGAACTATTTCCATTGTCTGTCTGCCTTCTGAATTAGTTCCATAATTGCTAATTCTGAGACTGAGCATAGCTGTACATGTAAGACACAAGCTGTGTCTTGCATAAATGTAAGTATTAGTCTAGATAACCCCTGTCAATAAGTCTGTTTTGATGGACAGAAGTAGGTTTAAAAAGAAAGCATCCTCAAGGTCAAATGTTACATAGGCCAACACCCTCCTCTGAGAGATACTGAGTACCCAGTAAAGTAGGTACCCAGTTTCAAATGAGAACCAGTACAGAGCAATCACAAGGACATCCCCAAAGTCCTGTCTTGATGTAAAGGAGGCTCAATCTTGACCCTCCAGGTGGTTTATTTACTTGGGTGGCATTCATCGGAAAATCGTTCAGCTCCATGTCTCACTGTGCCTGCGTAGGTGTGTGTTCTGGGCACTGGATGTAGTTCCTGTCAGTCAGGCAATTTCCCAGAGAACTGAAATGTACAGATCATGCACATCAAAGGCAGGCTGCAACCGCTTCGGCTGAAATTTACACAAATCTGTGCTTTGAGTAACTGGATAAACAATGAAACTAATGACCTGGTTCTGCATTAATCTCTATATGACTCTGTTGGTACTGCTCTGGTCTTCCGGCAATAAGGCTATATAGGTTGGGCTTCTGGCCTCCCACCAGGGATTAGGCGCTGGCCCATGGCTGGCAGAGCCCAGGGCCCTGCTCTTGCTATAGCCCGGGAAGCCTGAGAAGGCTACAGAGGCTGTCCATCTTAGAAGGTGCCTTTGCCACCATTCAAGAACCCCCCTCCATTGCCACAGCCATGGAGGAAACACATTTATAAAAATAAGAAAATCCTGTAGTCATGCCTCTCCCTTTGGAGAGCTTACCTTCTTCAATGGAGGATCCAAGGTTTCCTTGAGTATTTTCAGGGCCTTCCCACTGCGCCAACCCCTCGCCCCTCAAAGGAAACGAAACTCTCAGAGCTTGGTCATGTTCCTCTTTCCAGCAAAAAATAAATTTCAAAAATGGCTGCATCTGTAAAGAAGAGTGAAAGGGAGACTCAAGCTGATCAATGAATTTGATCAGCATTTACTTCTCATCTGAGATACTTGGGGAAAGATATTTTTTATTTAAAAAGAAGCTGCCTCCTAAATGCCTTACCCTCTGATGACCATGGAGTCCCTCTGACTCTATTTGCAAGGTCTGAGGGTTGCCACCAGAAGAGGTGGAGCAGTCTTGGACTGCAGGAAAAGGAGAACAGAACCCTGGGAAGCAGCCCCCACTCCTGTTTCACCGCTCAGAGCACAGGTCACACAGAAAACTTATATGGAGACGCAGAGCCGAGGCAATGACTCCGTCAGCGAGGTTAGCTTAGGTTAGAAAGGGTCACCCGTGAAAGAAACACACTGAACTGAAGGACCTAAGTGCCGCACGTGTAACGCTCCCGTCACTTCCCATCCAGCTCCGTCCATAATCTTTATTGCCTTGAAAACTTCAGATGCCTCCGTTTGAGATATGCAATCACATTCTATTCTGTAACATAAATTCTGGTGAGATGTACAATCCCCAAAACACACCTCTTATGCGCCTTTCTGCTCACTGTCCCTGTATTCATAGGGCTTTTGCTGTTTGAAACACTTCATCCATGTATACACATTATCCCTTTCATAGGCCATCAGTCTATGGAGGCTGTTCTCAGAGTTGTTGGCAGCTGTGTCAAATGCCTCACAAAAAAGTATTCTATTTTCAGTGTCATTTTTCTTCATCCACTTATCAGTTCATTATGAGCCCATCATAAACACGAGGCAGAGATGAGGCACATTCCCTCTCTCCCTTCTCTCACCACACTCACTCTGGGTAACGAGGGCTAAGGTGACTTTGGTGCCACCACTGTTGCAGTTGTGCAGACAGTCACAGCAGTGGATGTGTGTGCTTGACACTGTCCCCATCTGCCCCTGTGGTAAAGGTTCTGAGTGCTTTAGAAGTTTCCCATTTTGTAACTTACAGATCTCCTCAAGAATCATCGTTGCTTTGTGGACTAGTAACACCGTAGATCTGCACATGCTTTCACATGCATTATCTCACTGAACTCTTAAAACAATCTTATCAGGTTGGCAGCCATCATACCCATTTTGCAGGAAGGAAACTGAGTCTAGGAGAGGTTGAAAGTCTCTCCTAAGGCCATCACATCATGGGAGGGAGTGGCAAAGCCAACCTCCAACCCAGGATTTCTGACTCTTTCCATTACACGTTCGAAGCTGACTCTTTATGTTGGTTACTTCTAAAACAAGAGAATACTGTTCAAGAAGCATTTCAAGAAGGGCCTTACTGTTTAACCATCAAGACAGAAACTTTCTAGTCACATTCTAACTGTAGGAAAAGATTTCTGAAATCTGCCAATAAAAGGTCTTCAAATTAGTGAGACCTTTGAGATAGTGAGTGCTTTGATTAAAAACATAACATTAACACTGGTTCTCCAGACCCTAACTTCTGTGAGAAAAAAAAAAAAACTGTGCGGGGCACTGTACTGTGTGTAGAAAAAGCAACATTCTGCACAGTAAATACGTGCACACGTGTTGTGTCAACGTTCTCTTCCCAAATGCGGCTGCAGATGAAAGTGTGAAGCACACTGAAATGAGACAGTATTTATGGCTGAAGAAATTCGGCTTCACATAACGGTAATTATGAACAAGATATTTTCCTTAATAAAATTACTGCAAAACAAAATCTGGAGGAACTAAGTGTTTCCCCATGTTCTCTTTATCTTATTCCATGTGCTCCAGGATGGTTGCGGGAGAGAAAGGGAGAGAGCAAAGGGAGCAGAGTGAGAGAGAGAGAGAGTCCTAGCCAGACGGTCTCTGCTGAGGGTTGGTTTTGCTTTAGAATCTGGAATGTGTCCAGGCTTGATTTTTATTTTCAATTCACATTTCAGATCCAGCTCCCCAAACTCTTTGATCTTTCTCCCTGTCTCCTTACCCGGAAGAGAACCCTTGGCCTTCTCAGCTGGGAGCTGAGAGCACACGTGGAAAGACTGGCTCGGATCCATATTCTTGCCAAATTTAGTCACACAAAGGGGCCTGCGAGGGAAAAAAGAAAGGATGAAAGCGGCAGCCGCCGAGACTTCAAAGGCCGCGCCGCCGCGCCGGGTCCTGCGCAGGCGCCGCCCTCCGCGGATATAAGGCGAGACGAGCGCGCGGGCGGCCTCTCCGCGCCGCGGCCCCGCGAGCGCCCGGGCCGCAGGGTGGGTGGGGGGTTCCCGCCGGGGGCTGAGGGGCGGGATCCCGGCGCCAGCCGCTGGCCGCCCGAGGCCTGTCCTCAGCCAAGTTAGGGCGCCTGAGAAAAGTTCTCGGAACGTAGGGGGAAGGCTGTCACGTCCAAGCGCCCTAGGCGAGCGGTGCCGCGACCGGCCAATTTATTCCAGCTCCCACTACGCTCTGTTTCGGGGACCCCCCCCCCCGCTTCCAGACGAAATGCCAGCTCCGTGCGGGAGCGCGGGCCCCGCGCGGCTTCCCATCGCGGAGCGGAGCAGGGAGGAAGCGTGGCAGGACTCTCCCTGGTCCGGCCTGGGCCCCCCAAGTCCGTTCCGCACCCCGCCAGTCCCGTCGGGGATCTGCCAGTGGCCTTGGCACTTGAGCCCTTGCCCCCCGGTTGGCAGAGGGTCTGCGAGCGAGCCCACGGATGATGGGGTGGGACGTGGCGCTCCCTCGCAGGTCGGGGGAGGACCGGGACCCCAAACTGGTGCCCCTGGGGCCCCAACCCAGCAAGCCCAGGGCGCCAGGCTCGGCCCGCACCCGCACCCGGCGCGGGAGAAGCCCCCAGAGGGCTGCGGCGGGCTCCGTGGGCGGACCCGCCGGTCCGCGCTGGGCGGCGGAAGCCGGGTGTCCGCAGGCGGCCGGATTTGGGAACGACATTTTTACGGTCCCACGAGTTCTCTACTGCCCCGGCGGGTGGGGGGTTGAGTTTGTTTGTCTTTGGAGGAGAGGAGGCGGAAGAACCCCTGGGACCCAAACTGCCGTTTCCCTCCCCTCTCCCCTCAGTCCGTTAAACGGAAGGTGCGCACAGCTCTCCGTCCCTGGTGAGGCTGGAGAGGAACAGCCGGGGAGCCCGACGGAGTTCCAGCTCTGGGATCCCATGCTTCGCGGTGCTGGTCCTTAGCCCTCGCTTCTCTCTTTCCGAGCATCCTCTTCCGCGGGCCCCCGCCACCCCCGTCCTTCGGGATCCCGGCAGAGTTGCTGCGCGCTGGGAGCGAGTCCAGGCCACACAAAGGGGAAGACCCGAAGCCTGAGTGGGGCGGGGGTTCGGGACCGCGGGGGCGGAGAGGGCTCTGAAGGGCACCGCGCTTTTTCTCTCCTCCCTGTAATTAAGGACTCGCTTTAGTGTTTGTAGCTGACTGGGTTTGGCAGCAAAATCGCTGGGGTGGGGGTGGACTCCGGTGTGGGTGGGGGGCCATTCTCCTAGTTCCCCTGCCGGCGCCCGCGGGGAGCTGAGCCCAGCTTGCCCTCTGGGCAGCGGGCCGCGTCTCCGCTCCCCCTCCCCGGGTTCCGGCGCGGGGTGGGCGCCCGGCCCCCCACGCGCAGCCCTGCCTGCGGCGCCCCGCGCAATAGGAAGTGTTGATATAAAACAAGTCACTGTTCGCTCGCTCCCAAACTAAACCCCAACCACCCGAAGCCACCAAGAGGGGAAAAACCAACAGCAATCCAGCCAGCCCCTAGCAATTGTTTCACGGTCGGAATTAAATCACATCAAAACGCCCCCTGAAACCCACATCCTGAAGGAGTGAACCTGCAACAGCCAGCCTCCAGTCGTTCGCTCGAGTTCACACGAACAACCCGCCTCTACATCCGAGGGAAGGGGGCGGCGGGGCGGCCGCGTTTCTCCTGCGCCGCACCCACCACATCCCGGACCTTGCACCCCAAGAGGCGGCTGTGTATGTTAATAACACCCCCCCACACACACACACAAATTAGAGGAGACCTGCTGGCGAAAGAAATACCTTTGCCTGGAACTTCACCCAGCCTGAAAGGAGAAAGGGTCCTCTCAGAGTCACTCACCCCTCTTGCGCCCTCACCCCCTTCCCCAGAGAGACAGGCTTCGTGTGGAAATGTCAACCTCCTTCCCAGACAAAGCTTTTGAAAACGTGGATGAAGACATCTGCAACAATACTGAGGACAATCAGCCAACACCACGCACGCCATAGGGAAGGAAACCAGTCACGCACACAGAGCCGGGCGTTGGATGATTTCCAGGCTTACGGCCAAGTACTAAAAGCAGGCGCCCACCCTCGGCCCTTTTAGTAAACAGTTCCCAGGAGTTATTGTTCCCCAAATTCTCATGTTCTGGAGTGCCGAATCTCCAGGACACCTGGAGTTGAGTACCAAATGACTCAGGGAGTCCAGATAATTAACACCAAGCAGAAAATGGGATTCGAGAGAGTTGCCTCACTTAAACGGAGTGGCGGGGGGGGGGGGTGTTAAAGTACGGGGTCATTTAACCTTTTTTGGTTTCTAGAAACTACCTTCTAGCCATGCCGGGGGGGCCCCCTCTCCCTCCTCCAGTTTGAGGAAAAGGAACTTGTACCCTGGATGCTTTGGTGAAGCTGCATTTTTCCAATTTTTTTTTCCCTGTCGGCAAATGGGCCCTTTTGTGAAAGGACTTTTCACCCCTCCTCCCCACCTTTCTTTCAGGAAAAGAGGGTATAGACGTCTGACGTAGCTACATGTGCCCACTTCTAGGACCTTGTACTCACACTGGTACACAACTTCAAGGGAAATTGCATATGTACGCCAACCCAAAAATAAAATCGGGTTCTTTCCAACCTCCTCAGTATTGCCCTATAGACACACTGCAGCAGAATAGTCTTTTTATGTTTCTTCCCTAAGGCATGGCATTGTCAGCTATGCAAACTGGCTTTAATGTTTTACTCTTCCGGGTTCCCTTCACCAGCCCAATGCCCCCAGAAAGAACGGCCAGAGAATGACTACTCGCCCTTCTCTATGTGACCCAGTGAACCCTCTAAATGATAGTTTTTAAATTCGCTTCCTAGAAAATCCCCATCCCTAGGAAGTAGTTATCAGTCGGTGAAGTTCTGGGTGCTCATTTAGAGCGTTGTTATCAGTGCGCAGCAGCGGGCATTCCCTCTTAGGAAAAGAAGAGGGTTTTTTTTGCCCGACTGTTCCTGTGTCATAGAGCTGAAGTCTAATTCTGTAGTATTTTCCTTATTTTCAAATTAAGGGAGATGTAGACACATTTCTTCCTGCCCCATGTTTACTGTTCTGAGGTTTTTACAGATGGCTACTGTATTGGGTATAATAATTTTGCCTGGATTTTTAACTGAGAGGAGTTTGAGAGCTAAGGAACAAAATGTAATGTGTTTTCAAACTTCAGCTTCGCTTACACTGTAACTTTCACAAAGCATCTCCTTAAAAGTCCTGTCCTTGTATAAAACGCATCAAAGAGACGGTGGAGACTGGAGAGTTTTTGAGGTTGGATTCGGATTTGCAACGTCAAGGGTCCCCTTGAACAGGCAGTCAGATGTGCCCGAATAGCCGATCTGTGCTGCCTCTGCTGGCCTGGCTCTCCTGGGTCCTTCTGCCTTTTCCCCCTCCTCCCGCCGTTGCTTTGCATCCTCTATGACATTCCCACACATTGTGCGTATAACTCCGAAAATCCAGGAGAGACCTAGAGTAACTCTCTTATGTCCGTCACATGGTGAGGATGTAATGTAAGAGATCTTGCTTAAAAAGCTATGATTAAGATCTTCAGTTTTTTCCTTCCTGGTCCTATTACTCTCGGTAAGCCCGGAGATTTTATCTTTGCTAGCGTATGATCCCTTGTCCTTTGGCATTACATTTAGGAAAGCCACAACTCTCCCCTTGTCCTTCTCGCTTCTTGTTCACTCGTGAGATGAGCGATGTCTGTTATATTTTCTTTTCCCTTCTTCTCTCTGTCCGATTCCCGCCTCATCCGCTCGGTCAGAGCATCTATCAATGTGGTGTCGATCACAGCTGCGGCGGCTTCTCTTTCATCTTCCTCCCCTAGCCAGAGCGGGGCGGGGGCGGGGGCAGGGGGTAGAAACGGAGGCAGCAAGGAGATGTGGGTGAGACTGCGGAGGAGGGGGTGGGAAGGAGGTAACAAGAAAAGAGATACTTAGATGATGAAGTTAAACCGTTTGGGGAGTTTCTTGTCATTTCACGCAGGCAAAGCCTGAGTCTTCAATGGGTAACAAGAACAGTCCGGTCCTTCCTTCCCCTGCCAAATTGCTTGATTCTTCCCTCCAGGAGAGCGCGCGCGCACAGACGCGTGCGCGCACACACAAACACACCCTAAAACTAGGACTCGTCTTACAGGCTCTGGGAAAAGAAAAAAAAAAGTCCTCAATCACCACCTCCACTCGCGGTCCCCCTCCTCCCCCCCCCCCCGGGCAGCCAAGGAGAGCTGGAGGCGGGGGATGGGAGGGGGAGGAGGAGACGCAAATGGGTAGCTTTTCAGCGCCAGCGAGGCGCGCGAGGAGGAGAAGCGGTGGGGAGGCACAGCCGCTCACCTGCGGGGCTGGGTGCATTGGAGGGAACCAGGCTGCGTGCTCTCCCGCCAAAGAGCGGGGCAGCGCCCGAATCCCGCACACGGCCAAGCCCGCGGCGTCTCCTCCCCTTGGCTGGGAGAATCCGAGGGGTGCAGCTCTTTGCTTTGACAGGGAGGCCCAGCGGAGGCGTGGAGAGCGGCGAGCGAGACAGCCCGCGAGCCAGGCTGAGAAATTCGAGCCGGGAACAAAGAGGGGTCGAGCTCTGAGCGTGCGTGTCGGCTCCAGCTCCTGGAAGAAGCATTTGGGTTCGAGGCCCCTGCTGTGACTCTCCGAGACCCCGCCGTGCCCTCCACCGCCGACTCCCAGCGCTCGACGGCACGAACTTTATTCTTGGCAAACTTCTCTTTCTCTTCCCCTCCTCCTCCTCCACTAGCAGATTAAACGCTCCTGGAGAAGGAAAACCGAAGCGAAAGGGAAGGAAATAAGAAGCTCTAAAGACATCTCCAACCCGGGTGGCTCTCTATTATTATTATCTTTACCCTCCAGGAAGTGAACAT